TTAGGTGAACATTCCCTTTAAGAAACTGACAAAAAGAGCTGAACCAGCAGATGGAAACTTACAGCGGATATTCTCCAGCAACATCTTCACAGATTTCCCACAGGGTTGTCACTTCATAATGTCCGACAAAGTGTGAAAATTTTCGTTTTTAATTAGCTTTTTCCAGTGAGTCTCCACTAAATCTCTTCTGTAGGTGGGAACAGAGGTCTTGATGAATTCAGGCCAATTGTGGTGTCAGTTTGACATTGATGTGTAGCCAATCGATTAACACTTTGCCACCGCCATCTTTTTATAGGTTCATGGGTTGAACCATCATTTATGTAAAGGCACACAAGGACGCTTGTTACAGCATCACGTGTTCGCATTATTTTCCCCACCCGCACATCATTTGAGCTCGGCAGCGTTATTGTGACTCATGGCACTTTAAAAAATACTGAGACCACAGTTATCTGAATCAGTGTTTTTGCACCTCGCTGAGCTGTGAAAGGTAAATTAGCTGAACAGCATCTCTGTAGAAAAAGCTTTCTCTGCGGTAGGGAACTCTAATCATCCGGAATAAGGTTTCGGGTTTATAAAGCCCTAGATTTGATCTGGTCACGAGGTGCCGAATGAGTAAAATCTGATTGTGAAACATTACGTGGACTCGGCTATGAAACAAAGCCCAGGATTGAGTCGCTATCCATTACCGTTGCGAATAAATGAATGCCAGTGCCAGAGGTTTGCATTCCCCACGTCTTTTAAAGAACAAACACTAACTTTTTACAAATTGACAGGCTCAGCCTGTGCTGTCCACACTCAGGAGTAAATGATAGTTTGATTGCTTTTATACTTGAAAAGCTGCCAGCGAAGCGACCTTGGTGTTTTTCCTGACGTTAGAAGGATAGATTTTTTCCTTTTTTGCAAGGAAGGACTGTTTGTGTTTGGATTGGTTGTGTTATGGTCCTATGACTTCTTTTGAAAGTCATTGTGTAAAATAACTGCCCTTACCCTTGACTGTGCCACAGCTCCATAATGATACCCATTAAGCCCTTGAGTTCAGGACATGGCCACTGATCTGCCTTTTTGACTGCATGTGGGTGTCTTTGGAAGTTGTGGATGGGAGTATGCAAATCAAAGCAATATCAGAGCATCAAACCTTTTACATGGTGAATTTCAAAGAAGAGTTTGTACATTACACAACCTCGAGATTATACAGCCACTCACTTTGAATCACTTCCAGTCGATCTTAAGGAGGTCCTGTGCAATTTGAATAAAATGTTGACAAAGGTTGAGTTTAGTCTACACACATTTACCGTAGTTCAGCAAATTTCAATACTATGGAGCCCTTAAGGGGACATAGTGATGGAAAAAATAAGTGGGAGGATAAATGTTCAGTGCGATTGTGGTGTTTTGCAAAATTTTGTGTTCCCTCAAGTTTTCATCTGAACTTGCAAAACCTTTTCTTGGGGGAATGCAAAACATTTGTGAGAGAACGCGAAGTATTACAAAATATTTTTTCCTTCCATCTCAATTTTTTTTCATCTCCATGTCCCTTTAGGGGCTCTTTTTAATAAAAATCCACATGATCGGGAATTTTGTGAGGGTAAAACATTTCCCCAGGCAATTTCGCATCGGGTTCAGATGGTCATGCGAATTCGCCGCTTTGACCAACAGAAAGCTGCTTGGTTTGAAAAATTACTTCTTGTAACAATTCATACATTGCTGCACTATTTATAATATACAATGGACCTTTTTCAAATGAAATTTTGTTGGAATTAGGCTAGTGTGAGTAACATAAACAGTTAAAATCAGCACAGAACATATTGAACTGTCTAGTTTGCCTTGCTACCACCTGACTAGTTGGCCATCCTGAGCCATCTTTGTATAAAAGGTGTGCATAAAATCTCTTTTTTACTGTAGGCAATTCCCTTATGCAATACATTACAGCTGCAAACAACCTCCAAAACGAGCTGATATAAAATCTGTATTGTTTATTCATGAGGTGTTCCCAGCTATCAACAATTCGTCATGATAACTGTCACCTTGCCTAAGACAAAATGCAAAAAATGACGCTTTATTGCAAACGAAGGCTTTACAACCTCAGCACGAAAAGAATTTGTTTTGATTCAGGGCTATTGCCCTTCATATGAGCATGCACAAATGTGTCGTTAGACTGGCTGAATGATGTTAATTTTGAGGAAAGGAAAAAATCGAACCGCCTGCTAGGCAGGTTAACTAGCTAACGTGCTTGTTAGCATCAAATAGTTTTGATCTCATTCACTGCTCGAGAGAGATAGATCCTGATGGATGTATCTGAATAATACACGTTTTCTCCTCTATGTGATAAAGGACTTTATCCTGAAAGTATGTCCTGTAATTCCACATGCCCTGGAGAATAAATTCAGTCACAATTACAGTACGTTTTGAATTACTAGTACACAGCAGGTTTTGTGGAAGGCTGAGAGAGTGTTTTCACGTTGTGTATTTGCTCAGTAATCAGAAACGGATCTTAACGACCTGCATAATGGCCTGTCAAGAGCCCCTGCTTTCAACATCCGTGGACACCTCCCTCCTCAGCAATTATTGATTTGATGAAATACAATACATCTAGAGCCTTAATCAGAGGCTATTGTTGCCCACCTGAGCTTTACACGTTTAACAAGATCACTAATGTTTGAACCTGGTCCTTGTGTCCCGATTTTACAGATTTTATTTTAAAACTCTGATTTGAACATGCAGATGTTTTAAAGATTTGTAAATCAGTTCTTTTTCAACTTAATTTGTTTGCATCATCACTCAAAATCTTTCTAGATTTTTACATGATTGTTTTTTATAAATAAATACAAATTATTTTACCTCTACTAATTAAAGTGATAAAATATCATTATGTGGTTAGTTGATTTCACTTTTTTTATTCATTTTTTAATTTAGTGTATTTTATTTTTATATATATATATATATATATATATACATATA